GGCTGTAGACATTGTCAGCACCCAAACTTCTTGAATATGGCTTGCTGATACAGAATTTGTTGCTATTGGACTTGGAAGTAACCCCATAACAGAAGGAAGAAGTCGTAGCTGCTACCACTCTGTTGGCTTCTTCTTAGTCTGCTCGAAAGGAAAGCCGGTAACTCGAGTAAAAGAAAAAACAAAATAGAGTATGACAAAACCAATACCCTTGAGCTGCGATTTAGGCAAAATGGGTTTCGAAAGAAAGAAAGAAACCTAGATTTCTGATTTTTGGAATTTTGATTTAGGGATTCAAATGGGTTTCGAAGGGAAGAAAGAAATTGGGGAAAAGATTGGGGATTTCTAATCTGGGTTTCAAAAGAAAGGAAGAAACCCAGATTTCTTCCTTTCTTCCAGAATTTTGATTTAGGGATTTGGATGGGTTTTGAAGGGAAGGGATTCGAATGGGTTTCGAAGGGAAGGGAAGAAAGAAATTGGGGAAAATATTTAGGGATTTGTTTCGGTTTAGTGATTTGGGGATTTCTTAGACACTGCGCAAGATGATGTGGCGAGAGATGATGTGGCGAGAGTGGGACCCACAAAGCAAGGTGGCAAAAAAAAATAATAAAAAAGGGCCTAACCGAGTGTGACCGTTTGCACTTAACGGTCAATAAACAGGATTGGGTGTTTAATTGGACGGAGGGACAACAAGTGCATGCTTTTACATTGTAGAGGGACGACAAGTGAATGCTTTTACATTGTAGAGGGACGACATGAAGCCAATTCATAGTAGAAGGTTTAGAATGAACTATTTTGGATAGTAGAGGGACGATAGATGGCCTTAACCCTTTTTTGTTCTCTCCGATTTGTCTCTTTTTTTTGTTATCCTCTGCTGTGAAAAGACAACACATGAAATCCATGATGTTGTTTCTTAACCTATGTTTTGCTTTTTCAAAAATCTTTTTGTTACCCCCGGCCCCCCTCCCCCTTTTTTTTTATCAGCTCTTTTGGTAACTTTTTAATATGTCATATTGTTCTAGTGATGGTAGCTATAATTTATTCACAATAAAATTTCCAATTTGATTATAAGAATAATAAAACTAGAAACATTAAAAGAAAATTTTCTTTCAAATCAACATGAAGAATTAAAAATATTTCACAGCTTTAATTTAATCTATTTATTTTATGGCAATGTTTATTGGGTAATCTTTCTTTGAGTCTTTCTTTAACGTGCTTTGCTTTCAGCTAAATGTCATTAACAAATATTAGGACTTTAATATATCTCTTAAAGCATAATCCACACTCCCTTTAAATTTCCTAAATCAACCTTTCTTGTCCCTTTTTTTTTTCTCTTCTTATCTAAAATTGAAAATTGAAAAGTTTTAAACCATGCTATAACAAGGCATAGGTCCAGCAATTAACAACATGTTTGATTTGATAAAAAAAAAAAAGAAAAAAAGAAAAGAAACATGTTTGACTTTAAATTGTCTTACGCTTCCCAACCCCTAAATATATAAAAAGAAAAATTATATAAACCATGACTACAGAACAAGATATAGGTCAAGATATTGCTATTTGAAGCATGATGAGTGGTCCAAACTATGGAACAAACAATTAAGGAGGGCAAATGGGAAGAATGGCAATGGGGTTACAACTAGATATAAATAAAGGAAAGGCTATTGCTTTGCTTAGCTGAAATCTCATGATCTATGATTCCAACCTCTAAAAATATGGTTGAGATTTAAAAGAGAAATAAGAAAACAAAGTGCTTTAACTGAGTTAGATGGCCCATTTGCTTGCACTTGAAGTATAGTTCTAAAGCAAAAAAGTTGCATTAGAAAGGAGACCAGTTCTAGTTTGGGCACCCTACCCCTCCCATTGAGTTTGGTGACAAGCAGCTTTCATCAATTTATGTTACCACTACAAATTCATTAAAAATGGGTACCCATATGTACCTTATACCTCTCCATCGATCTACTCCTCCCAGAAAGTTAACCTACAACTCATCATGGTTGACTTGTTTGCATGATCAGCAATGAATGCCTAAGTTAATAAAAAATTTTCAAGGAATAAATTATGCAGTACAATTGTAAATTTTGTGGCTGGGGACCGGTTATATTAATTTTATTGACAAATTGTGTGAAAATTGATATATGTGCCTCAAAACAATTTGAATATTTAGTCTTATAAAATTAAATGATAATATGAAAATACAAAATGATTGATACATATTTTGATTTGACACACTTTTTTATATCTATTTGATTTAGTCATTAAAACATAATATAAATATAATAATTCAATAAATTTGACATTCTATATGCATAAACGTATTTTTAAATTTA